TCAACAGTAGATATGAACTAGCAAAAGAAAGAATCAGCCAACTTGAAGACAGATCAGTAGAGATTATATAAACTGAAGAAAGAAAGAAAAAGATGAAGAAAAATGAACAGAATCTCATAGAAATTTGGGATACTGTTAAGAATAACATCATAAATGTATAGGGAATACAAGAAGAGAGAAAGGTAAAAACAACAACAACAACAACAAAAGCAATACCAAAAAAAAAAAAAAAAGACTGAATACTTCCCAAAGTTACTGAAAACCAGTAATCTACACATCTAGGAAGCAAAGCCCATCAACAGACACATCACCATAAAAATGATAAAAGCCAAACACAAAACAATCTTGAAAACCACAAAAGAAAAATGATCCATCACTGACAAGGCAACCCTAACCCACGGAGAACAGCTAACTTTTTAGAAGAAATACTGGAGGCCAGAGGTGGTAGGATAACACAAAGCCCTTCAAAACAAAACAAAAACCCTGTCAACCAGAATCCCAAGTCCAGCAGAGCTGTATTTCAAAAATGAAGGTTAAAATACACATATCCCAAGATAAACAAAAATTGAAAGGATTCATTGCTAGCAGACGTTCGTTGCTTATAAGAAATACTTAAGGAAATCATTAAGCTGAAAGCAAGTAATTCTAGACAGCAATTTAAATCCACATAACAAGCACCAGTGATTATGTAATTATAACAGACACTATTAATGCACACTTTTTTTCTCTTCAATTATTTTAAAAATAGTATAAAACGATATGCATATAAGTATCACCAAGTCTGTAACACATGGAAATGTAATATATTTGCCAATAACAGAACAAAGGAGATAGGTGAGAATAAAGCTGCAATGTGCTAAGGAAATAACAGATGGTAAAATAATAACAACGTATTGTTGGGTTTATAATATTGACAGACATAAAGCATAAAACAATAACAACACAAAAAGGGGGGGTGACAGCACTAAACAGAGGTAACATTTCTATATATTACTGCAATTAATGTAGCATAAATCTGAAGCTGATTCTGATAGGCTGCGATATAAATGATAAACCTTGGAACAACCACTAAAATATACTCAAAAGATGCAAATTGCTAAAAGAATATAAAAAGATGCTAGACATCATTAGTCATCAGAGAAATGCCACTCAAAATCACAATAAAGCACTATATCCCGACCACTAGAATGAGAATTGAGAGCTTGATAATATGGGTTGTCAAGAATGTGAAGAAACTAGAACTCTCATATGCTACTAGAAGGAATGCATAATAGTCCAGCTGCTATGAAAAACAGTCTGGGGGCGCCTGGGTGGCTCAGTGGGTTAAAGCCTCTGCCTTCAGCTCAGGTCATGATCTCAGGGTCCTTGGATCGAGCCCCACATCGGCTCTCTGCTCAGCAGGGAGCCTGCTTCCTCCTCTCTCTCTGCCTGCCTCTCTGCCTACTCATGATATTTGTCTGTCAAATAAATACATAAAATCTTTAAAAAAAAAAAAAAAGAAAGAAAGAAAAGAAAACCAGTCTGGCAGCTCTTCAAATGATTAAATATAGAGTGACTAAATGATCCGGCAATTACACCCCTAGACAAATACCCAAGAGAAATGAAAACACATGTCTACACACAAACATGTACATGAATGTTATATGTTCCTATGAGCAGATGGATTGCTTGCTCGGTCTTCCCCAATTTCTGGATTGTGCCTGAGCAAAGTAGGAAGTTCTTTAGGAGAACCCCAGCTACAAGTGAGACATGTAATGAATGACTCTGGTCCCACTCTCACAATGTCTGTGTACAACTTTGCCAACTTGTCTATTCCACATAATTGGAATTCTGCCTCCATTTAATTCTGCATGCCCTGCTAAAACTGGTATCCCCAACCCCAAACTCCATCTTCCCTGGCTGGGTTCCTAACATCCTCCCAAACTTATAGCAATCCCATAGACCAGCTCATGTATTCTTCCAAGTGTTAGATGAAGACCTATGAAAAATAGCTTAGGAACTGCACTGTGATTACCAACTAAACCTTGAGAGTCTAGGAGTCTTACATGCCTATGAAACTGAGTGTCTCCTAATTCCAAGGCACAAATATGCTATACCGTTTCAGAGTTTTGTGGCTATACAAAGAAAGACCTCTCTACCTGACATGCCCACTATCTACTACTCTGCCTGGCATCACCTCCCTATTTATTCTTCCTCTGTGAAGTGATTCAAGAATTAGTAGCTTTAGTCTCTGCTCTTCTGGGAAGCAGACCAATAGCTAAGAGCATAATATCTGGAACCAGCATGACTGAGCTCAAACTTCACTTTACCACTTAAATGTACCACCTTGTCAAGTTTCTCAACCACTCTGCCTCAGTTTTCTCATCTAGTGAAAGGGGGTAATTCTTCTTCCCAGGGTTGTTATAAGGATTAAACGAAATCATATATAACATGTAATATGCTTCCCCAGCACTGGGTTATTACTTCTATCTCAATCTATTGATGGTATCATATTTGTTTTGTTTACCTGAATCTTCCCCTACCAGTCCCTGAGCCTCTCAAAGGTGTTAAGTTTATTATTTCTTTCATATTCATAGCATTTAATGCAGTGCTAGGCAGTATATTAAGGGGCCAATGAGTGAGTGAAAAATAAAAACTACTAGCCCAGCAAAGTCAATGATTATGGAAACCATGCTTTCAATATAAAAATCAGACCGCATGGTTGATGAGTGTACTAGACCTGACTAAGAGCAGGCCTACTCTGGAAAATCCAGACTATCTGACTGCCAGAATGATCTAGAAAGAATCCAAATGCTCAGCAGTTAAATCAGTTACATAAATGATAGCATTAAAACACAGAGGACTGGGGCACCTGGGTGGCTCAGTCCATCAAGCATATGCCTTTGACTTGGGTCATGATCCCAGGGGTCCTGGGATTGAGCCCCACGTCAGGTTTCCTGCTCAGCAGAGAGCCTGCTTCTCCCTCTCTTTCTCTCTCTCTCAAATAAATAAAATCCAGAAACAAAAACAAAAATAAACAAACAATAACAAAAACAACCAGGATCTTATATAACCATAACAGGAGTCATCTGTTGACACCTGAAAGAGTCTGGACAAAACACTAAGCAGAAAAACAGAGCAGAAGAATATGCATGAAAGGATTACAGAGCTGATCAAAGAATGATAATCAAAGAGAACAGACTTTATGTTTATCTAATATCACAGAATGAAAGAATATTTCTATGTTTTAAATTTTGATTCTAAAGACAACTTTTTTAAAGATTTTATTTATTTGACAGAGAGAAAGCACGTGCCCACATGCAAGTGGAGCAGCAGGCAGAGGCAGAGGGACAGGGAGAAGGAGGCTTCCCACTGAGCAGAGTGACATGGGGCTCAATCCCAGAACACTGGGATCATGACCAGAGCCCAAGACAGGTGTCAGCTGACTGAGCCACCCAGGGGTCCCTAAAGACAACTTAATCCAAAAAGAAAATAATGCTTATAATGCCTTTACACAAGAAACAAGATAAATAGAATAGAGATTCCAAAAGTTTTAATCCCTTACATAAGACTCAGTGAAAAGGATCACATTTCTCCATTACTATAACTCTGAATAGATAAGTTTCCTGATAAGAAAAAAATCCAGATATGCCCCTCATGGTCAATTCTCTTATTTCATAAGTAAACTGTTAAGGCCAGGCATCTGTTTTGGTCATGTCTGGGACAGTCAAAGTTTGATTAAATTAACCAAAATTCTTCCTAAGTATGTCTTCTCCTTTCGGTATTTTAAAAAACAAAATCCAAATTGTATATATTTGTCCACAAAGAAAAAAGGTCTTCAGCAAGTTTTTCATTCATTTCTCCCTGAAACAGTTCCTCTCAAAATTACAGCCCAACTCAGGAAAAAAAAAAAAAAAAGAGAGAGATAGTATACTTGCTCAAAGAACAGATCCTATGCTTTTCACTTTAATCAGCTTATTTTATACATACGTGCTCACACAGATATATACACATCTACGTATACATACCTATATACACGCCAGAGGAAAATTAAGTAATGAATGCATCTTTTCAGTTATCTTCATATAAGTTACTAAAACAGGACCCCAGTAATCTGGAGATGATGACTACTCTAACTTGATTCTAAAAAATCAAATATGTACCTCCATCCTTCTATGCTATCAACTCTCCCTAGATTAACATAGGAATGGGGGCACTTGGTTGGCTCAGTAGACTGACCGTCCAATTCTTGATTTTGGCTCAGGTCAAGATCTCAGGGTTGTGAGACTGAGCTCGAGTCGGGCTCTGTGCTGGGCATGGAGACTGCTTAAGATTTTCTCTCTCTAACGTCTCCCTCTGCCCTTCTTCCGTTGTCTCTGAGCTCTCAAATAAATTAAAAAAAAAAAAAAAAAAAAGCAAAGGCATTATCCCAGAATATCACTTAACAAATAACCTTCCTTAAAAACACAATTCAACAGTCTAAACACAATAAACTTAAAACTGGTTTCCAATTTTGAGTAAGAATTTAACCCCACCCACTTCATAAATACTCTTGCCCAAAGAGCAATCTGTCAACACATGTAGTTTAAATCATTAACTACCACAGCACCAAATCATTACTATAATCAGCATGTAAATTTCATGAAGGCGCTGATTGTGTTCTTTCAAGCACTTTAAACAACATCCAGTACAAGGAAGCTTATTAAACATTTATGATGTTTAATAAAAATAAAATGCCAAAACAAAAGTCTTTGTTATTCAGCTTGGCTGCCATGTATAATATAACCACTGATCAGTATCTATTTCTCCAAGAGCAATTATAAGAAATCGAAAACAAACCCCATTCAGATTAGAAATTGTCTCCTCTGTCCAAGAATACAGTTTCATTTTTGCATCAGAAAGAAACTAGCAGGCCTCCAGCAGAGAGCATGCAAATGCAGATTGTTGTGGTGCTTAACCTAAGCATTTATGCATTGTTTACTACTATATTTCATGCACATTTTTGGAGATATTTGCCTTACCTTTCCCATTTTGCCATGTAGTATACCAAGATAAAGTCAGGAACGAAGTGATAAATGCTAAAACAGTAGCTACAGTTCCATTTCGGAGCCTCATCTCATTTCACCATCACACTGGTTCATATGTTTATGATGATAACCAAAACTGTTCTCTTTCTAATCCTGAAGTCAACTGAATCCAGTACTCCTGGCTCAGGGCCAATAAAAACAATCAATAAGAGAGGTTCATTTCAGACGCTCTGCAGAAGGAGCCCAGCAGCAACACCATTCATAATTGCAATTCTGGATTGTCTTCACAGTCGTCATAGGCTGCTGTCAGGCTTCTTTCTTCCTGTTCAGGGGAAAAAGAGAAAGGAAAACTTGTTCAATAATGCAAAATACTACTTTCTTCATTTATCACTCACCATTATGAACAAACTTTTGGCTGGGCTAACCCCCAGCTACCAAGATTATACCCGCATCTGAACAATTCATTTAATATACTAGAATCATATGATGTTTCTCCTCCAGAAAAAGAGCTTCAAACTATATTCCCTCCTCCTTGATTCGGTTTTGTCTGCAAAAAAAAAAGAAAGTTATGGCTCATTATTTAAAGGGAAAGGTTGTGGGGCTCATTAAACAAATAGGAAGCCACAGATTTGAAGCTGATTAACTCTGAGGATCACGCAACGGTTCCTACGTAACATAATCGTCATACTCCTCCATTTTCCTCTTGCAAAATAATAGTCAATGTTTTGAAAACTTTAAGAAAAACTGGGAGACTACAACATACAAGCATCAAAAAACCTGGGCTCGGGGAGCCTGGGTGGCTCAGTGGGTTAAGCTCTGCCTTCGGCTCGGGTCATGATCCCAGGGTCCTAGGATCGAGCCCCACGTCGGGCTCTCCGCTCAGCAGGGATCCTGCTTCACCCTCTCTCTCTGCCTTCCTCTCTGCTACTTCTGGTCTCTGTCTGTCAAATAGATAAATAAAATCTTTAAAAAAAAAAAAAACAAAAAAAAACCTGGGCTCTAGCTCCAGCAACATCATTATATATAGGACTTCAGGTGTTCCACTGATCTAGGCCTTGCAGTTTCATCCATAAAACAAGCAAACCACCTGGCCTGGCTCCACTTCTAGGACACAAATAATGTTTATAAACAATAGAAAAGTCACAGTGATTATTGCCATTTATCATTATCATAAAAGAAATGTAGTTTTTCAGGTAAGTAACCTGCTCCCAAGGTGTCAACTGGGAATACGAAAAGACATTTAGGAAACGAAGCAACCCAACCAGAACACTGCAGGACCTAGGACCTCACACTGATTTCACTCAGAAAATCTGAACATCGAATTCAATCAAGTCCTTATGGGTACTTAAGTATAGTCACCTAGCACTTAATAGGTTCTCCATAAATGTTAACTGTGTTAAAAAAATAAAAGCAAACCAAACAAACAAACAAAACTGCAGCCAGCCGTGGGTTTGGTCTGCACTATGCATAGCCAGTCTCGTTCCCTGGGGGCATGTCAGGCACTCCAAAATGTTCACGGATTCCCAGTGGCCTCAAAGGGACCACAAGATGCACTTGGCAATATTACTGAGACACACTCTACTGGGGTAAGTTAATGCACCTCCAAAAATGCCTCACAAGCCCCAGGGACAATTCCCTTGGCTACAAAGTATGGCTGATTAAAGTAGCCACTGGTAGGCAATTCAGAAACCACCATGTCAGCTACAGTTGTAAAACTGAACATAGTGACTAGAAATCCCCCCAGACTAAGGGATAGTACTGATGGTAACAATGACAGACTCTACAAGGCACTGAGTGTTTCCTATGCAACCACTATATGCTTTAAATCTTCAACAAAACTCTAAGAGGCAGGCCTTTTCTTTAACTGAAGTATAATTGACACACAATGTCACATTAGTTTCAGGTAATGAGACAGGCATTGTTAAACTGGAGAGGGAACACTGATCTGTAGGACTTCAAAGTTCAAGCGCTTACCTACTGCCCTTTGCCTTTCAAACTAGGCCACCTGCACCTTGTAAGAATGAAGAGAAGGGCAAGGGCCACTCCCAGTCTAGAGAACCTTCCTGAGCTATTAACTTCACCCAACAGTGTGTGAATTTCAAAAATTTTCTCTCCTATAATGAATATGTATTTACTAGGAGATAAGCTGCAAAATTCATAGGAAATTTCTGAGTTTAAACCTAAGACTTTTTTTTTTTAATTTTTTAAAGATTTTATTTGACAGAGAGAGATCACAAGTAGGCAGAGAGGCAGGCAGAGAGAGAGGGGGAAGCAGGCTCCCTTCTGAGCAGAGAGCCCGATGTGGGGCTCGATCCCAGGACCCTGGGATTATGACCTGAGTAGAAGACAGAGGCTTAACCCAGGTGCCCCATAAACCTAAGACTTTAAACAAATTTCTCACTTCCTGTAACCTCTGGCTAAGCACCCCTCCCCCCACCACACATACATCCAAGCATGCCTTCTAACCCTCCTTGGCCAACAGCTCTCACTGTGGTATAATATTCTGGAAGCACTGAACTCCTCTATTTCCTTGCTTCCTCTTACTATCTGAAAACAAGGAACTCCAAAGATATTCTCAAAAGTTATCACTATTTTCTACAACCAAAGTTATTCATCTTCTATAGTTAAGACAAGTTAACATCAAACACGCTCACATTGATGGTTTAGATTTTAAAATCTTTGTGGTGAAATCCTACAATTTGTACTAAATTCCTTAAAGTGCCTAATATATTGTCTTATATTAGTAAGTACCCTAATAATGAGTTCTGATTATAAAAAGAGATGTGATAACTCAGTGAATTATATAATACAGAATTACAATCCTGGTGCAACATTATATAAAAATGCATATAACTTTCTGTTGCTACATACTTAGCTGCACCCTACTTCAGGAAGAATTTTGTCCTAGTAAAAGATCTAAAAGTATACAGGTTATTAGAATAAACATCCAATTAATAATTATAGGGAAGTAAAGAAGAAATCATAAAGGATATTTTAAAATAGTTTTATTAAATACAAAAAACGCCCATATGATAAAATTCAGTATTAACACGTAGAGACAGTAAAAGTGAATGACTTCTAAAATCAAAGTAAGCTATAGATATGCTATTAATAATATGTAAAGAATATACCAAATATGAAAAAATTAGATCCAAGAAGCTATTAAGCTCTGGTTTGAAGAAGATATTTATTAATTCTACTAACAAGTAAGACCTAAAATTCTGCAGGAGAAATGTAAGAGCATTTTACTCAGTAAGAATGTAGTCAGACATTTTAATTAGGGTTTCCAAACTAATCAAGTTTAACTGCACAGTACAACTGAAGACTCCAGACTAAAGCAAAACTAGTGATCTCTATGCTCTTTAACCAGGAGAGGCAGTCAGGCTGGATAGCCAAGAGCCCTCTGGACTGACTGACTACCTAAAGCAAGAAGCAAATTGTGTCATTATTTTTATCGGTATCCACATTTGCAAAAATTTCAACCTAACACCTTAATACTCTCTGAGAATATCACTTAATGTATCTGAATCTTTAACAATAAAAAATGTGATAGCTAAAACTTGCAATCATCTTCTTCACCCTCCCAAAGACATACGGAACTTCAACTTGAGACCACAGACTGAAAAACCTGTTTTATTTGACTGCTCTATTGTTTTATTATTGGATACAAAAACCTTCATTTAAATGTATTGAAATATTCAATACATTTTATGGCTGAGAACACTTTGCTGAACACTTGGCATATTCCCTCATTATTCCACAGACAGGACAGAGGTGCCTTAAGACTGAAAGGCAGAAGCATGAAATCCATGACGTAAGCTATATAACTTTATACAAATTATGTAAAAATTCATTTTAAATTTATCGAAGGATTAATACTTTTCATTAACACAGCTTACATAATTTCATCGTCCAGCACGTTTTTGGATTTACAAGTGTGGACTAAAGAAACCCATGCCACGATAAGCTGTTAATAAAACTATTTTTTTTAACATTCAGAAAACAAAAGATAAACCACAAAAGGCATTATCTGATTCTAAATTTAGGTCTTATATTCCACCAAACGACGCTATCATTATCTTTCATGAGAATTCGTCCGAGAGCAAAAGCAGAACAGCAAAATACATGAAAAACATTAAAAACATACATTATATCTGCTTATACTTCGCAATTCGGACTGTAAGCAAATAAACGGGCTCAGGAGAAACACACGCTGCGAGAAATAAAAGCGGGCGCGCAAGTGGTATGACTGCCAGCTCATAAAACACGCCTCAGAGGTGTCACCTGGTACACTTTGTGTGCAATCACCCAGACCCAATCTAAGGGTCCCACTTACAGCTTCCTCCTTCAGGGCAACTGGGGCCTGGGGGGAAGGCGGTGCTCTTTCACACCGGACCCGCACACCTTCACTTTGTAGAAATATTCGCTACGACGGCTGCACACCACCTCCGCCCCGGCGGGAGCACCCCTGCCTCCAAGCCCCGTACCTCCTGGCCCCCGCCCCACCTGCCCCCGGCCCCGTAAAGGCGCCCACCCCCGGGCCGGTGAGCGCCCTGGGGCGGCCGGGTCCCGCAGACAACTCTCCCTTCCTCCCAGTACCCCCTAAGCCCGCACTTTCCTCCACTTTGCCCCGAAGTCGACGAGCCCCGCCGCGCCGGGGAGCGCCGGGAAACGCACTAGGCGCCCTGCCGGCCGCCGCGAGAGCGCGCCGCACCGAGGGGCTGTAGCAGCGGCGGCGGTGGCGCGGGGCTGACCCCACGACCAGGGCGCCCCGGCCCGCGCCCCGCCCCGAGGCCCAGCCAGCGCCCCGAGCCGGCCCCGCAGCAGCCGGAGGCTCGAGCTCCCGGTCGGGCCGCGGCGCGGGCAGCTCCGTTACCAGCAGGTGGATCTCCCGCGACCCCCGCGCCTCGGAACCCAGCGGCCGGCACCGCCCCTCCATCCCGCGCCCCTCCGCGCAGCCGCCCTGCGCCCCCACCTCGAGGCCGCCCGCGCGTCGCCGCCAGCCGAGAGCCGCGAGCCCCTCAACCGCCACTAGCGCTGCCAGTTCTGCCGCGGCCGCCGCCGAGGCTGCTGTGGCCGCCGCTGCAGCCGCTGTTGCTGCCGGGTGCCCCGCCTCCCCAGCGCGACTCCGCCCCCGCCGCTGGAGCGCCGCGGCCGCCCCGCCCCCCGGCCCCGCCCGCGACCCCGCCAGCCATTGGCCGCCGGTGCTGCGCGCCCTCCACGGGGCGCCCCCGCGCGGCAGAGCCGCTCGCGTCAGTGGCCTGCCCGGCTGTCATTTAGGGGCGCCGACTCGCAGCTACATAACTCTCCTGAGATCCCTTTCCTCCCCCCTTCATTTAATGTCACGGCGAGGTCTGACTCTGCGTCTTGGTCTCCGGTCCCAGGCTCCCAGAGCTTGGCTTCTCCGCGCAATCGCCCCCTCAACCCCGCGCCCCGCCAAGCCACATCTGGCTTTAATCCTCCCCGGCGTGTGCAGAGGCAGCTCAGACTGCCAACGGAAGGCCCCAGGGAACCCTCGGCCTCAGCCTGGGCGCGGGACCCGACCACCCTGGGCTTCCTCAGTCGGAGCCCCTGGCACCAGCGGCAAGTCCCATTCCTCCGTCATCCGGCCCGGGCAGCATTCTTGGCGACAGGTCCCGGGGGCAGGTCCCGCTCTAAACCAACAATAGCTTCCGAGGCCCCCAGTTCCAGGACCTCAGCGGCTGTCTCTGACCTTCGCAGCATCTCCAGCGATAGGCATCCCTATCCCCAATTTACGGGGACTCGGAAGGACTAGCATAAACACAGGAAGAAAAAATACAAGGTTTAAAAGGCAGATCGTTTGGGTGCCAAAGCCTTTGATTTTACCACTTCATCACATATCCTGCCCCTTTCTCCTGGACCCCATGTTCTAATCTTTCACCATGTCAAGTTAACCAACTAGGTAATCATCTATAGAAAGCCTGAGTAGTCCACCTCTCTTTTGCTTAGTGTTCATATGTATTATGACTTGTGTTAATAGTAACTACCATTGAGCACATCATCTTTTGGTTATACCAAAGATATCTCATTTTAACCATTACCATAATCCTCACAACAGCCCTCCAAGTTAACATTTACAGGGAACTACCGGCCAAAGATCAAGGGGACATCCTTCTTCCTGCCAAGCTCCCAAAGTAATAAATAGGTTCTTTTTAGAAATCCATAATCCAAAAATTCAAAACTCTTAAAAGACAAACCTCAATCAGAATAGTTTCCCCCCACCCCAGCAAAATTCCTTTCTTTTGTCTCAAGATAGTGGTAATTAATAATCAGCTATGACATGCATGGGTTTCTTAGTTCTTCCATGGTGACATTTCTCTCCATGACTGCTGAGCTGTTTTAAAGGTCCAGGAAGACATACATGATTCTTTCCTCTCATGGTTCTCCCTCAATTTAGGGGGAGTAGACAAAAAGGCTCCTCCACTACCCAGCACCATGAACATAACTTAGGCATGACAGCCATGACATCGAATGACAACTTTTCTCTCTGCCTTGGGGGCCGGAGAACCAGATTTCCTGTGTTCTATGACAAAGACATTTCCTTGTAGCAAGCTGACAATAAAATTCCAGATGTAAGCATTAAAGACTGAGGCCATTCTAGGATACAACTTATGAGACACTGCTTGATACATGTTGCTGAAAATATCTTTTGGGAATGGAAAATCCTAGACCTTATTATACATTACTCTTAATGACAGACAAGTCTTTTGCAAACAGAGAAAGCTCTGCCATTTGACAGATGATGGAGAAAGCCACCAAGCCATGCCCACAAGATTGGCCAAAATACCACATACGTGGGTAGCTACTATTCTTATTTTACAGAGGAAGAAACTGAGGCTCTGAGAGATTAATTTAGCAGCTGCAAATAGTAATTTAGGCAACTAGTAAATAACAGAACCAGAATTCACATCCAGGTCTGTTTGATTTCAGAGCCCCTACATCATTCCACCACACCAACTCTCTGCTTGAGTCTTCAGCAACTGACAAAATTTTGTTGAATGGATGAATATCAGAAAGATAAGTTTCTCTCCACTTTCTCCATCTTTTTCCCTCTCACTAAGAGACAGAAATGAAAGCATTCACAAACATTCTATAGAGGAATATGTCAGAGGAGAAAGGAAAGCCTGGAAGGCCAAGTTTCAATTGCAGACTCAATGGTCTTATTCAGGAAGGTGGCAGGAACTCCCCCTGGACACTGGTTAGTGGCAAAAACCTATAGCAAAAGACGGAAAGCAAGCAGAAAAAAACAACGGCCTTCCTTTTGGGGCCTTTCTGATGATATGTTGCTTCTCTATCTGTCAGCAGAAGGGTAGGTTTGGGAAGAAATTTGGCCCTACAGTTAAAGTCATCACAAACCATTCACATTTTAGCTCAGGAAAATCTGGATTTCAGTTCATTGTCCTAAAAACTGGAATGGCATGGAATATGGGCCTCCAAAGCATAGGTCATAATTGGTTGCTCATTTGTCCTAACTTTGCAGAGCACAGGATCCTGGATTTTCCAACTACATCTGTGGTATCTGTTTAATAAAGGCAGTTATACCAAGCCCCACTGAGTCCTTTTTCTTATGTTTTCCATGATGATTCCCTCTTTTATTCCCTCTTTGTTGCTTCTCTACTGTGCAGTTTCTTTTTGCCTTCTCCAGGCCTTTAGTTCAGTCAGTGGAAATAAGAGAAATGTTTAGGCAAGAAGTTCTGCCTGTAACTTCACCGATCTGGATTCTGTCCCTAGCATCTTTCCACATTTTCTGAGGGCCTAGGAGGTGCAGAGGTAGCCAGCATCTAACCACAGGGCCATCACACACTATTGGGAGAAGTAAGTAAGGAATTAAACCCCAAGATACTGCCACAAGTTCAAGGTACTAGGACAGAAGATAGGATGGGGCCACCAGTCAGATTCTCAGGACAGGGAAGGCTTCCTGGAGAGGACATGGTAGCTAAAAGCAGAGTCCACACCAAAGCTAATCTTTTCCCTTTATTGCTTTGATGGGGCATAGTTATTGGTGGGGCCACACCTACAGTAATCAACTTCTAAGAAATGAAGCAAGTCATCTTTAGTTCTCTTCAACCCTGGTCCCCTCCAATTGCATCATATACGAACGTTTATAATTGTTGTGATTCTGGGGCACCTGGGTGGCTCAGATGGTTAAGCCTCTGCCTTTGGCTCAGATCACCATCCCAGCATCCTGGGATTGAGCCTGCCTTGGGCTCCCTGCTTCTCCTTCTGCCTGCCACTCCCCCTGCTAGTGCACTCTTGCACTTTCTCTCTCAAATAAATAAATAACATCTTTTAAAAATAAATAAATGTTGTGATCTGGTTTGTTGGCTACTCACTTAAATGGGATCATTTTTCAATTATAAAGGCTTCAAGAGGAATAGCCCCAGGAGATCCTTCCTGGCTCCTATAGACCTGGCAGGAACGCTCTCATTTCTCGTGGTAAACAGTGTGCTCTATCACTTTTAGTCTAGAAGCTACAGGAGAACTAGGACCAGGGTGGGCAGTAAAAGCTTATGTGTTTTCAGACACAGTGTCCAAACGGTTTCTGCTGTGTAATGAGACAGGGCACACAGGGACCGAGAAATTAATGAGACAATTCAAATAGAACCAGCCTATTTAATATGCAACTCTAGGTGGGCATGAAGTTTCAGCCAGATGGACAACAGAGAGCTAAATGATTTTTACTTTATTCTTACACCTTTGCTTATCCTGATGTGAGAGAAACCTTGAAAGAAGCCTTTCCATTTCATTCACATTCACATTGTTGGGGTAGAGGGGTCTATCCCATTATTCAGACAAAAACCGACCTGGGCAGCTGTGTAATTTTGGAATTGTGGGTCCTCACCATACTTAAATGCTGTGGTCGGTGCCACTTGTGTATGTGTACAAGCCATTGCTAAAATTGTTCAAGAAAACCCCAAAAGAGGATCCTACCATCTTACTGGGAAAGGGCTCCCTTCCAGGCATTGTTAAAACAATCGGCAATGCCCCATGGCAGGGAAAGTCTCTGCCAAGAGTCTTTAGGAGGATTGGAGGGATCACTCCCTTTTTAGCCACACCATTAAAGCTGACTCACTGGTTTTATTATATTTGATGTAGACTCTGAAGGCACGAAGGAAGAGAATGGTGAGCCAGAGAATTACAGAGCTTTGGGGATTTTTTTTTTCCTTTCTTTTTCTTCCTCTGTGAATTTGGTAGTTGTAAAAGATGTTGGGTCAACAGCCCTGTGTCTGAAATCCATCCATGCATAACACCAATTCCAGCAGTTCAACTGTGCTACTCTATCCATTCCTTTCAAACAGGATAAAAACCTCTACTCAAAAAATACACGCAGGACCATCACTGCCCAGTATCAGGCCATTTGGAGCTATGGATAGCTGGACAACATAATCGTTGTCACCTTTTTCTTAACAACCAGTATTTCTTGACCCTCTCTTACAGTGGTGGCTTACCGCCCTACAAGCAGGTGAGTGTATCAGCCAAGCACCAATCAGAAAAGAAAAAAGAAACAATTCTAGGTATTTTGCACAGAGGAACTAATACTCAGGAGATGGGTTGCAAAGGTGTTGGGAGGACGGAATAAAGAAAGAAGAGGGTAAAGAGCAGAAAGAAAGCCGGATGGTTACCCAAGGATCCTGGGTTGCTGGTGCCTCTGGGGTGGACACTGGGAGCTTG